TTAAGCAGTTTCCTAGGATTTTTCCTGTATCCCTGCTAACGGCTACGTGGCGTCGAGGTGCTTCCAAAAGCCCGAGTCCCAAGCCGCCACCGGGCTAGGGAGAGAAGAGAAAGTCTTAAGAAAAGCAGCGGCTTCTTTCTTAAAAAATAATGGTTTTTTTGCTGTCTGTTCATGGCCCCCGCCGTCCCCGTTGAGGAGCGCCGGCGGGTTGTGCCCCACCTGAACTTGCTCGCTCGGGTGCAAGGGTCGCGTCCCGGGGGTCTCCCTGCGGGCCAAGGGGACGGGCCTGGGAGCAGGGCACCCGCCGTGCCTCCGTGCTTCTTTCCTACACGTGAAAGGATTCGAGGCGCGTGGGTTGTACAACTTTTAAAACAATATTTTTTGTATTTTTTGAAATGTTTGCATCCACACGGGACACGTTTATGTTAACCTTGGCCCTGTATTTAGTTTATATATCAGTAGTTTTGCATTCTAGCTATTTATGGCCTCTTTAAGGTTTTTCACTTAAAACTGACCCACCTATTCATTTTCTGGCTGTTTGGTAGCTTCAGAATTTAAATTAACGATGTGCAATGTTTTGTCAAATGACCTGTGGGCACGAATGCTAGCAGAAATGTCTGAACAGCTACAATGCGAATGTGTAAATGCTCCCGAAACTCGGCTCTGAAGAGAAAGCTGTGAATTACCTCGCTGTGCTCTGCTCCGCTCCGGCGGCCGGAGGAGCTGAAGTTGGGCCCTCTCGGGATAAGAAAAGATGGGAAAGCAAACCGGGCATTGCTTTGCAACATCGCACGCGTTTCTGTAGTGCGAAGAGCAAAGTTTAAATATCTGTTGAACCCCAGGCTATCACTCCTGAAAGGGTGGTTTTTGTTTGTTGCTGTATTTTGGAATTGGTCATTTATGTTGAGTACAGTTTTACAAAACTGTACTTGGAAATACAGAACAAATGCCCTTAAGAATCATGGGGATTAGCTAATCTTTCCTAAACCTTTGATTTTTAGGGTCACGTTTAGGAGGTGACTGCGCTCCGGCATTTTCAGTTTCGAGGGAGATGTGTTTGGAAGTTTTTGCTTGATAAATGCTTTCATTTAAATGGTTCTGCAGGGCTGACAGGCGTAATCACCTACGGTGTGATCTTGGTAATTATGGATAGCAACAGGACATCACTGTTAGAACTTGGTGCTAAATGAAACTGCTTTGATTAATTGTAAATTCGTAAGATTGTTCCAGTGTTTCGAGCTGCATTTTCATCTTTATCAGTTTAAGTGCCCACATAGGGGATCAGCTAAGGAAATTGAGTTGAGACTAATAGTTAACAATTTACCGTACATCATGGATTTTCGGTCAAGTGATAAAAGGCTGGCAGGAAATGAGAAACTGATACCTCAAATAAGAGTAAACATGTGTTAAGTGTAGCTTTTACAAGGTTGTTTGATAAATTATAAATTGGTTTAGGCAAAGCACAATCCGTACTGACGTATTTCGGTTAGTTTAAAGCTGATAACACCAACACTTGAAATAAGTTTATATGTCTGGAGGCAGATCTGTGGCTGATGTAAATTGTTACAGCGCTGTTGCTGTTAATTGGGTTCCAGCAATTTATGCCGATGGAGAGTATGTCTCAGCATCTGTAATAAACAGCGTTTTGTATTGGTGGAGTATGAGTCCAAGAAGGAGCTAGAATTACCTTTGAAGGTGTAAGTAGCCTTTTGTTAGGGACATGGGATCTTAAGCAAATGATTTTTTTTCAAAGCTTAGTTTGTAGGTAGGTGTGAGATGAGACATGCAAGTTAGCTTATTTGTTACTTTGCAGGAGATGTTAGAAGTTTGGGGCCTAAGTTACATTCTCATTCCGCAAAAGCTTTTGCAAATACTGAGCTTTGTGCATAATTTCACTGATACTAGTAATGCTGCTCACGTGTCGGAGTCAGCGTGTGTAGCCTTGGACCCTGAAAAGCATGTAAGAAAACCGTTGTGCAGTGCTTTAAAGGTCTCTTGTCTATAAAGCAAGAAAAGATTTTGTTTTAGCTTAACTAAAAAGGTGCTTCTAAAGCTTGGTGGTCAGAGGATCTGCCCCAGCAGCACAGTCCACGTTGTTTGCTGAGACGTGAAGCAAGCCAACCACAACAGCCCAGCAGTACTGCTGCTCCAGTAGCGCGTTTCCTAAATCAAAGGTTAGGATTAGAATAATTGTATTACTTTCTGTTGCAGATCCGTGTTTATATATTCCTCGTTTTGCACACATGCTTGAGTTTGGGGATAAGAACCACGAGGTGTCCATGACGGCTCTCAGGCTGTTGCAGAGGATGAAGCGGGACTGGATGCACACCGGCCGCCGGCCCTCCGGGCTCTGCGGAGCAGGTATGTCAGGCGCTGGGTGCATCGCTTCCCCCGCAGCAGGTTGGACGGGAGAGTCTGGGATTCGGGAACAGATGAGGACTTTCTTGTTTCCTCGGTGGTGCCATGTTCTCTGGGTTTTGTGCTGTCAGGCACCTACAGATTATATAGGTCTTCATCGAAATAGTTTCTGAAACTCAAACTCCATTTTTGACCTTGCTCCTACGTTACTTGCTCAGATCCTTTGTATCTTACGTTTTGGATTTTTTAACCTCCTTTCTGGTGCTTTTCTCGCCTCCACTCTCTGCAAGTTCTAGCTGCTAAAAGGTTTTTTTGTCAGCTAAAATGACACCATTAGTGCAAGCACTTTGATTTGTGTCTTTACACAGAGTCTTATGCAAGAAATGCCCTCTTTGACCTGTTCTGTGAAATTATTTTCCTTTCCTTCTTTATCTTTTTCCAAGATCCATTGCTGTCATGACGCTTAGAAAAAACCTACCAGTTTGGGTGGGCTAGGTTAAAAGGTAGTCAGTACCAGCCAGTGAGGTCAGAGTAGCGAAGAGCGTAGATAGTCACAGAGTTCACGTATGTGCTTTATTTTATTTGAAAGATCTTACATGTGCATGCTGGAATGAGAAACAGCCCTCAAACCTTAGGGAAACCAGGACTATGCGATCTTCTTGAAATTTCTGGCCTCTTTTTATTAGTAGTGCTTGCTTATTGCACATTGCTACGAATTTGTGTATAGGCTCTATGGGAGACCAGCCCGGTCTTTGATTCACTACATAGACTATATCCACACGAGCACGTGATTCGATTCAACAGACATGGATCAATAGATTGACGCAGGTGGTGCTGAGTCCCCTACATCCATCCACACAATACGCAGTTCATGTGGTGTACTGGGGACTGGGTTTAGTTTGGTTCCCTGGCCTAAATGTCTGTGCCATGCGTTGTTTGAAGGACCAGTTGTTAGTTCAGCCCCTGAAGTTCCTATTAGGAGCTGGAGCACTTTAAAAAAATACCTGAAGTGGAGTTCTAGTTTAGTTTCCCCTAAAAGGAATCACTTTTGCGTGCTTAAAACTGTTCTGCGCACTGAGCCACTGCACG